GAGGAATAGATATAAAAATGAACACAACGGGGGAATAGCAAAGTGAGGAAAATAGGAGTCTGTTTATTGTCAAGCTTTGAACTTACCTAATGTGGGGTTCATGGCTTTGCAGCTGACTTCACAACATTCACAGCTTTGGTCCTTTGGCTGAAACAGTTATGACCTTCATCAATTCATAGACAATCTGCCCAGGCTGCATTAGGAGAAGTTGAAATCCATAATGGCAGAGGGTCAACTGACTGCCTGTACCTCGGACTTGTGAGTCCTGGAGATTGTAAGCAAGTTTCAATCCCTTCCCAGGGTTCACCCCAGCCCCATTCCTTTTCAGGGACCTGTCTCTCATAAGAGACTGTTAGAACAAGAAGCAGACTCCCTTCAGTACTGGGATCAGTGGAGATCATGCCCTTAGTGTTCTGAGCGGGGGGGGGTTATTCCTCTTATTTTCTGATTCCAAGGAACAAAGGGGGTTGGCTCTGCATCTTGGACCTTAAACATGTCAACACCATCTGCTGTTTCAAATTCAGGATGGTGACTCTAGCCTCCATAATCCATTCTTTAGGACTGATTCATGGGCTCAGCCTGCAAGATGCCTACTTGCATATATCAATCCACCCAGCTCACAGAAAGTACCTCAGATTTCTAGTAGGAACATCCCAGTACTAGTTCAGGGTTGGATCTTGCCCTTTGGTCTTTCTATGACACCGAGGGTTTTCATTAAGTGTCTGGCTGGTAATGATCTGGCAGTTCATCCAAGGAGACAAGAAATCCAGGTCTACGCATACCTTGACAACTGGTTGTTTTGAGGCAGATGACCACAACAAGTGATCAGCTTGTTTTCATGTAATTGTAAAGCTTTGCTTTGCTAGGTCTCAAAGTCAATAGACAGGAATCCACATTGACTCTGACTTGGAGCATACAGTTCACAGGAGCACTATTGGATTCCAGATCTGCAGTTTCCTCTCTCAGGAAACCGAAAGGATTCCACTTCAGGCTTTCTTATCTCAATACTACCCCTCCTTGGGGCTAGTTTATTACAACAGCATAATCCAAATAGCCCATAAGAAAAGTCCCAAACATGTAGTCCATTTCTAAGGTCCTTGATTTTCAGTTTTTACTGAAAAAATCCTGGGTTTTACAAAAGCCATTATTTATTTTTTTAGTGATTTTTTTTTTTCCCCCTGAATTTTGGAAATTCTGAAATACTGATGTTTTAAGAAAATCTAATGCATTACATTAAGCAAATGTGTTTGTTAATAATAAATTAATCTAAGTATAAATGCAAGGCTGTGTTAAAGTAAGGCAATATCATGGAAGACACACATTCATGTGTGCAGATATGTATATACTGTTAATATACAGTTCACGAAGTAAACCACAGCCTTAAACTGCTTTTATTTTCAATACTCTTACTTTTCATTGTTGCTTTTTTCTTGCCCTCGCATCCCCCAGTATTAACCCTAACGTTTACCCAGAAAAAGTTGAAGTTTTAAGCAAAATAAAAACTGAAAATGAAGGGCCTTATTCATTTTTCACCCTAATGCAAGCAGTCATTAAAACTCAAGACATCTCATCTCTTGATTCTCTACATACCACATGCCAGTGCCTTCAACCATGCCTGGACTCTCAGTCCTCTCCTGTCTTTGTACCAGGACTGCCACACCACTCTTTCCATTGGGAGCCCCCACAGCCTCTCTCCTGGGAGCATCTTTGCCATGCCATGCCTAGTATCTTCCTCCACACCTAGGCTCCTTGTCTGTCCTCTTCTATTGGTCTTCCAGGACAGCCATTCCAGTTAGAATGCAACACCGCTCTTCCCACCAGGAAGCCCCACAGGCTCCTTACTGGGAGAGCATCCCTCCCTCCCCCTAACCCGTTCATGGTTCATCTGGGTTCAGCTCTCTGGCCCTGGAGCTGACAGCAAGTAAGCTCCTCCTCTGTTCCCCTGCCTTCAGCGCTCTTCGGCCCTTGGCTCCAACTCTCTGGCTTAGAGCCATCAGGCAACTCACTCTGCTGCTGCTTCTCCCTTCAGCTCTCCAGATTGGAGATGCCAGCCAGCAAACTGTTCTTGCTGCTCTCTTTGCCTTCTGTCTTCCCCCAGCAAACACTTTCTGCTTCCTCCTGGGACTTTCTCTAGTCCCCCTTGTCTCTGATAGCTCTCACCTGCCCTTCCTGAATGAGCCAGTCTGCTCTGACTCAGTGGAACTCTGTCTCACTAAGTCTCTGTTATCCTTTGTAGCTGCCTAGATGCTGCCTCATCCTCTTAAGTGGCCAAACGAAAGCACCTGCTCTGGCACAAAGGAGGTGGATGTATTTCATTTTTTGGGGCCAGCTACTCTGTGACAGCATTCCTGCCTCTTCTTTAGGAATCCCCAGAACAAGTGCGGACAGACAATTCCACAGCTGAACATTATGTCAACAGGCAAGGGGGAGCATGATCATCCCCACTCTGTCACGAAGCTATATGTCTATGGAATTGGTGCATTCTGAACCAAATCACACTGGAGACTCTGCACCTTCCTGGCCTTCAGAGCACCATAGAAGATCAGGTCAACAACCACAAGTGGTCTCTCAAAACTCAGTGCAATAAAGCATCTTTTTGCAAATCAGGATTCCCAAAAGTAGACCGATTGGCAACAGACCAGAACAAGCAGTAGCAGACATTCTATTCCAGTGGGGCTTCAAGTCCAGGCTCCCTGAGAGACTCCTTCCTCATCCCTTGGACACCAGAGTTGGTATATGCCTCCTTGCCAATCCCCATGATACTGGGGGTCCTGAGGAAACTGAGACCGGATGCAAGATCCACAGTTATTGTAGTGTAACTAGCTGTTCTTTCTTCGAGTGATGGTCTACAGATTCCATTCTTTGTGGCTACCAGGCACATTGTCTGATTGCTTTGAAGTGGGTAATAGGGTCCTACCTAAACAATGACTGCCAGACCGCCCTACCAGAACTGGCATCCAACATGGAAGCCTCTGCTAAGAAATAGTGTTGTGTGTGTGGCTCAAGTTCCACATAGCTGCTCTACAAAGTTCAGCTATGACTGTTCCTCACACAGCCCTGTTACTACTATATTATGATCCCAAGAATGAGGGGACTCCTGTACTGGGAGAAAAACCATGCATGAGGCCTTTGAGTCTTGCCACTGCAGAGTGGGAAAACAGTGTGACCCTAGTGGGGGGTGGGGGGGGAGAAGAAGGGAAGTGTGTGATGTGATATGAAGATATTACTTGCAAACAGAGCCTTATGGAACTGATAATATCCGGATTGTTTCAGGACTAGCAAATAGTCCAGTATCGCTGAGTTTGATGAAGTCAAGAGAGATGGTGAAATGTCCAAAGAGAAAACTTCTTCCATTTAGCTTTATATGTCAATCTGATTGAAGGTTTTCTCCTTCGAAGAACAATGTTCTGAACCTCAACTGAATAGCTTCAGTCATCCAGTCAGTATCCAGATCTGTCAGGTGTAACAGTGCTAGATCTGGGTGTAGGATCAAACTGTTGTTTTGGGAGATTGTGTCAGGCAGGAATGGGTAGTAAAGTGATCAGAGGCTGTATTGAGAGGTTCACCAGATCCATATACCAGAACTGCATGACCCATGCTGAGGGTATTGTAATCATGCTTCTCTGAGATGTGTTGTCCACATGGATTGTATAATCTGTCCTCCTTCCCTGCTACTATGGAGTTCTACTCCTATGGGATTTTGTATTGGTGATGGAAATGAGGGGCGCAGGTACAGCTCCAGTGGGCAGTGCTGGCCAAAAGAATCTGATCTCACACTTGTGGCACTCACAAGAGTCTAATCTCTGTGGACAACACATCTTGAAAAACCTCCATTATTGTGGGGTAAGTAACCATTCTTTCCTTCCTGGCTGGGAGGTCGGATTCTTCCCTAATACCCAACACATCTATTTGGGCTGGAGGCTGGCAACAGGATTTTCCCCAGAGTGCCCACACTTTTCAGCCTACAAATTATATAAACAAAGAAACTGAATATACCTTTATTTGTCCTGTCTCTTTATGCTCCCACATACTTTGGTCACAGGGAGGGCAGCAAATTGATACAGTATGTATTAAAAAACAAAGTAGCAGAAGCAGCCATTTCATATAAAACTAGTTAATCAATTCTGGCTCCAAGTCCTTGTTTGAGCTCATCCTTGCTTTGATAGCTTTATTTAGTCACCATCCCTAAAATAGATGAGATGTAACAGTCAGTGATTAATTAAACACTTTTAGTGTTTTTAACTGGACAGTAAAATCAAGCTATCTTTTTTTCCCTCTTTGACATTTAAAGAAAAAAATAGTGTCATGTTTGTTCCCTCTGAGGCTTTTCTGGTGACTATTCATTTAAGAAATTTGTTTTTGATTTGACTCCTCACATGCATTAATGTAATGTAATGTGCTAGGAATAGTTTATGTACAAAGAAGTTAAGAGGTGGTACTTACTGGTAGACCTTCAAATCTTTTGATGGTTTTATAAGCTCACAAAGTGTTGTGGTGTTGGTTTTTTTTGTTGTTAAAAAAAAAAAAAAAAAAACAGCCCACCACCACAGTCTGAACTTGTCCTTAACCCATTTCAAAGTTTCAATTTTTCTTGGGTGGCAAGACCACCTTGCAGTTAATAAAATGTCATTTCATTAATCTATCACATTATTTATATAATCCCATCTGAGCATCTCAGTCTTTTATGTATTTTATTTTCACATCTACCTGGCATGGTAGAGAGGTGCTATTATCCCTATTTTACAGATGGGCAACTGAGGCAGTGAGACACTTAGTGATTTGGTTATGCAGGAAGTTTGTGGTGGAGCAGAGAGTTGAACCCATGGCTCCTTAGTTCCAGGCTAGTGCACTAAACATTGGACCATCCTTCTCTTTTGCCTCAAAATATCTGAGAGAGTGCAAATATTTCATGCACAGTATGCAGAAGAATTGTTTTTTTTAAAAAAAAAAAACCTCAAGGAGAGTGTTTTTTCGAGATGCTGAGATGTAAGATTTTCATATTTAAATATTGCATGCAGTTATAATGCATTTCTTTCTGCCTTTTGGATTTGAGAAGCAAAAGGCTTTTACATATTGCAAAGCCATAAAACACTATATGATTAGACATCTGGTTCCTTGTTTTTCTTACATTGCATAGAAATTCATTAGAGAAAAATCTTTACCCAAATATTGCTAACTAGTATTAAAGCTAGTGATGAAGACTGTCTTGCTATAGCTTACTTAGTATGTTGGATAAAACAATATTAATACACCGGCTTGTGTATGTCTGTCCTTCGTTTTAACATATAAACTCTGGGTTTTTTTACAGAGCTTTCTGGGGTGCTGCATCAGTGCCACGTTCTGGCATCAGAAATGGTCCATTTCATTCATCAAATGCAGTATTACATTACATTTGAGGTACACTTTATCCATCTAATTTGTTACTGTTAAAAAGGGAGAATAGTCACATTTAATAATGAAGGTGACTTATGTGTCTTCTATTTAAAGTAGAAGAGTAACTATATAATCTATCAAATATAAAACAGCTCAGCCCTGAATCCTTGGTTTCTAGGTACTTGAATGTTCATGGGATGAGCTCTGGAACAAGGTCCAACAAGCACAGGACTTAGATCACATCATCGCTGCTCACGAAGTTTTCTTGGACACAATCATCTCTCGCTGTTTGTTGGATAGCGACTCCAGAGTAAGCCTTTTTCTTTGTATAAAATCGTAGCTTTGTTATGTCAGCTCATGCTTAAATTATAAAAATATTTTTTTATATATATTACAGTAACACCTAGAATCTTCCCCCTGAGATCAGAGCCTTATTGGACTAGGTGCTGTACACAATCGCTACTCTGAATCCTCTTCTCCAGTTACCCCTTTCTTTAAGTGACTTCCTCTGCTCATATGGCTTCCACCAACTCTAGGCTGATGGCTCAAATCTACAGCTCCACCCCTAATTTGTCTGCCTCTGTCCAGTCCTGTATCTCAGCCCGTCTAACATCTCCAGGATGTCTTGCCATCAACTTAAACTTTGAACTCTTTGTGGCCCCCCAACCCTGCCTTTCTGTGTCACCGATCACAGGATTGAGTGACAAGAATGAAGATAGTGTCCATGGAGTATCCTTTAACTCCCGCTCCAGCATCATTCTGACCATGTCTGATGACACACACAGCTTTGAGTCCCTCCACTACCATCTCCCCCACACCAAATACAAGCTTCTGATTAGACCTGATTGGAAAAAAGGGAAGAAATTGTAAATTTTGTATTGAAATTTTTTTCCTGACTTTCTGAAATGTTGACAAGCTTTGACCAGCTTTACTTCTAGCATTTACCTTTTAAGTCCCTAAATATTTACATGTTTTGTATCTTATCACATTTCTCCACATGCTGGTTCCCGTCTCTGTTGCATATTTGTCCACTTCTCCCACAAGAATCTTCACACCTTCCTCTGTGCCTCCTTTTATGTGTGGAATACCCTCTGCAGACTAGAATGTGAAACCACTACCCTCTCCTCTTTCAGATACCTTCTTAAGACTTGTTCTTCCATGATGGTTATGGGAATCTGCCAACAGATAACTACTAGATAGATAGCCAGTAGAGACTTCAGATGTTTATCTTTTTGATCTATGTAAATGCTTGTTCTCATTACCATTGCCCTCATCTCCTCTCTCATATTCATTTCAATGGTGTAATCCACCCACTTGTTGCATCTTGCCTTGATTATATTGTAAACACTTTGGGGTGGGTACCATATTGTTTTCTATAACACATAACACACTGGGAGCCTTCAAGCACTACTGTAATACAAATAATTATTTCCTTGATGGGCCAATTAGCCAAAAAAGCTGCTTTTGAATTGGGAAAGGGCAATACCAGAGCAAAGCGCTTTATTTTAAAAACTCAGTTGTGTTACACTGCTAGTAGGAGCTGAACAACTGGTAAGAATTTAAAAAGAATCTTTTAGGAGAACCAAGAGGAACTGCAAAATGTTCTCGCTTTCTTTCTTTCCAGACTTCCTGTAGCGGTAACAGAATTATTTTGGATCGAGGAGTGGACTATTGGCCATCTGTTTTACTCCACTCTTTCCCTTAATGTTCTTAACCATTGTGATAATCTTCAGATAGAAAAGTTGGTCATTGGCTTGCATTTGGGGTGCATATGCAGGCACAGAGCTTGAGATGAAGCATGTTGCTATTGCAATATGGACTGGCCCTTTTTGGTTCCAGTAAGAAGTGTATTAATGTTTCTCCTGAATCTGGGTTTTCTGCTTAGTTGTGCTCTAGGTTACCAATTTGCTTTCAGCTAAATAATTCTTTAGAATCTCAACAAATGTAACAGTAGCTTTAAAATCCTTTTTATATCCAAAATCTTTTTTTACCCTTTCTGAATCTTCTCACAGACACTTCTTAACCAGCTTCGAGCCATTTTTGATCAAATCATTGAGCTTCAGAGTGCTCAAGATGTAATGTACAGAGCTGCTTTGGAGGAGCTGCAGCTGAGGTTGCAGTTTGAAGAGAAAAAGAAACAGCGTGAACTTGAGGTACAGTAAGGCTGGCAGTGCAATGTATTATGGGTAAGGCTAAGATTTTATCACGGTTATTTTTAGTAAAAATCATGGACATGTCACAGGCAATAAACAAAAATACATGGAAGCCTGTGACCTGTCCCTGACTTTTGCTTTAAAATAACTGACAAAAGGGGAAGGAAGGGCTAGGAACTGTGGGGGGGCGCTAGCCGTCCTGGGGCTGAAGTGGAAAATATCATGGAGGTCCCTGGGAGTCATGGATTCTGTGTCTTCAGTGACCTCCATGACACAATCTTAGCCTTAATTATGTGTGGCAATTATTTGAGACAGATGGAAGAACAATATATTTTTTAATTTAAAGTGGATGTGTTTTTTAAGACAAAACAAACATCCAAGGTTGTTAGGTACCTTCGCCAAAAGTTAAAAATATAGTCAGAGAGAGGATATATCAGCAGCTTCCACACACTCCATAGAAGGTTAAATAGAAGGTCTTGCAGGATGTCTTAAAAGTCAGCCATTTTTGAGATGTTTCAGACTGAGGAGTAGGTTCAGAGCTCTGAACCCCTCATGGAAAATGTCTTGCCTAAACCTAAAAGTCAAATCCTTTTCCCTCCCACCATACACATACATTCAATTGGAAGAGTGGATATGTGATGAAACCAGCTCATTCCTAAACACACACAAACTTATGGAATTCTCATTTACCATTGTCTATTTTATAATAATTCTTGGCAAGTACATTTTATAACTTGTCACCTTTTGTAGATTCATTAACACAACTTGCTAGTTATATTTGCTGCATAACCAGTGTGAAGAGGTTGACAGTCACAATATGAGAAGCTGAATATGTGGCTTGTTATGATGAATTTCGATGCATGAACATGTCTGTTTAGTCCAGTTGGCTAGCTGGACCCATAGTTTATAAATGTGAGGTTAAACATCTCTCTCACTTTGTTCTGTAGGGTGAGTGGGGAGTAACTACATCCGAAGAGGAAGAAGAGAACAAAAGGATTAGAGAGTTTCAAGAATCTGTACCAAAAATGTGTTCACAGCTGCGAATACTTACACATTTCTATCAGGTGACCTTCAGATTTATAAGGATTGTTTAATCTGTACCAAGACAATAAATTTGCCAGTTTTGTATACATTTGAGTTTCTAAAAATCAAAACTACCTGCAATTTCAATATGAATGTTCGTCTGTCCATAATCTGGATTTTTTTTTTTAAACATTCATGTTAGCTAGTCCTCAGTACAGTGTGTTTTGTCTTTTTATAGATGTTTTAATTAATTCAAGGGTGGCTCCAGGGAAAACATCAACCTTAGGAAAATTGATAGTTTGTAGGTGGATGATATTTGGGAACTTCTCGTAGCTGTTCTGTATGAGCTTTGAAAGCAAGTACTTTCTTACATGATAGACCATGATAGCCTTTTCTGTTAAGTCTCATACTTGTTTCATAATGGATTTAATAGATCTTTTAAAAGTAATCTTAATCAGTATAATCCCAATTGCATTCCATTTACCTTCCTAATCTTTGCAAATGATTACTACCCAAATTATTCTCTTAAAGAAACAGTCATTTTCTGTTCTTATTTTAGGGATGTTGAAATGGGTAGTGTCTGAGCAGCTAAGTGAAAGCATGCAGAGTCCCATGCTGTGAAAAGAGAATTATTCAGGCTTACTCTTAATTAGTTACATTTTATTTCAAATGCACCATTCACTAAGGAAGCCGGTAGCTACATTTCAAGCAAAGCATTCCACAGGATTTTTTTTTTTTTTTTTTAAGGAAATTAACGTTACGGTAATCTACCATAAAACGTTAGGGCCACACTTCTTTCAATTTACGAAGGTCAGGAAATTGACTGTCAAGGATGGATTTTCAGTTTCAACTTGCCCTATTGTGTCTAGTTGTCAAAGCTCATCTGAAATGTCTCATCATGTACTTTTCTGAAACCCCCTGCAAAGTAGCACTGTGTAGGATAAGGACAGCATTTTTTAGCTTTAACTATTCAAAAGCCAGTAAATAAAATCTAAAGTTAGACGTTGAAGATTACAGTGATATCGTCTTCATATTTTAATGCATCTTTCTAACTAAACTTGTTGGGCCAGTTCTCTCCCTTTTTGCTGTTTATAATTTCCTACATGTTTAGTACATTAGACAAAATACAAGATGTTAAATGTAGACATATTAAATAAAAATAGATCAATGAATCAGGGAGACAGCAGAGGTTTCTTCTAAGTGAACCATGTTCTGCATTTATACAGCATTGTTACCAGGACTGATGTATGCCTTAGACAATAAAACACATGTAGGGGTTTGTTTGTTTTTGCAACACTAAGCCACCAGTAGTTCCACCATTACTGCTTGCAAGGATGCATCGTGTCTATACTAGCCGTTCTGGCTGTTATAAACCTGTTCAGCGTGTCCTTGCACAGCACTTCTCCATCTTTTGCAATACCCATTTCTGAGTATCTGGCTCATTGTTTCTGACCCAGATCTCCAAAGCTGGGTTTGGGTAGTAACAGCCACAACTGGGAAGGTTCTGTACTAAATGCTTTTAAAAAGCAAATCTCGTAAATTAGTATTTCTAGTTTATGAAATTGTTTTGTAAAATTAAATAATACCAGCTCCACCTAAAATACTGATGCTATTAAGGTTGTCTGGCACTTCCCAAGATCCTGTTTTGAGTTGCTTGTAACTTTGTGAAATTTTAACCCTTTGGGCTGAAAATTTCCATGCTGTCTGTCTGCCTTGGGGTGAATTTCAGCCAAAGTGGTTCAGCTGTTTCTGAGAGGGAGGCTAGGTAAAAATGTTCTGCCCATGTTTTAAAAAAAATAATAATCTGGCAACCATATTTCAGAAGCTCTAGTGCTTCCATGCTGTGTAATTTGGCAGGGGAGTGGCATTTGTGTCAGAGACATATCTCTTGTCATCCCTGTGAAAATCCATCTAAACTGGCCAAGTTATAAGCCTTTGACAAACTGCAGTTCACACATGCTCAGTAAAGACGCCATAAAAGGTTTGCAGCTTAATTCCCTGAAAAGACAAGCCAGTCTGTGAATCTGAGGCAGAGGATTGCTGGAAGATAAATGATCGTCTCAGTCTCAGGACGGTGATAGTGGTTGAAAGCCATCCTGGAGAACTAGATTCTATTCCTGTCTCTGTCAGGGAGTTCCTGTGTGATGCTGGGCAAGTCACTTAATCCAGACTTTTCACAGGTAGACACTAATTGTGCATTCCTCATTTTCTGGGTGCCCAATTTGAGACCCTGGGTCTGATTTGCAGAAATGCTGAGCACTCACAGCTGCAATTGAAGTCAGAGAGAGCCCTGCTTTGAACATATAAAATTTGCTATAGAAAAATCAGGTACTAGGTATTGGTTGACCCTTAAATTGACTGGATATTTTTTACCTTAATCTCTCTGTTTTAGCTCCCCATCAGTAAAATTGGGATAATACCACTCCCTTACCTCACAGAGGTGTTATGAAAATAAGTTTCTGAATGTTTGTGAAACACTAAGACACTTTAGAGATGTGCACCAGAGAAAAGCCCAGGAGGAAATTAATAATTGATTTCAGAACAGAGTTTGAATAGTGTGTAGTAAATAAGGCCTAGGGCTACCCACTGAACTATGAGGAGAAAACAAACTGTTGAATTAAGTGAGCTCTGTCTGGTCTGTGCAAATAAGGCAGGGACCTGTGGGGGGGGAAAAATAGTATGTGATCATGTAATTATCATCCTATAATGCATATGCACAAGGGGAGTGAATTAAGGTTTCGCAGGTAAACTTAGTTCTGATATTTACTAACTTTTGAGTGTTTGACTTCGCAACCATAATCAAGCTAGTTTAACAGTTTTTCTATGAGATTATAAATAAAACATTTTTAAAACAAACAAAATCTTGAGTGCATGCACTGCAGCTAACAGAACACAATATATGTGCATATAATTATATAAACTGCAGTAGCTCAAAACAGAAAAGTAATTGATAATATAAGAAACATTGTAAAATCATAGAATATCAGGGTTGGAGGGGACCTCAAGAGGTCATCTAGTCCAACCCCCCTGCTCAAAGCAGGGCCAATCCCCAGCTAAATCATCCCAGCCAGGGCTTTGTCAAGCCTGACCTTAAAAACCTCTAAGGAAGGAGATTCTACCACCTTCCTAGGTGAAGTAGCTGCTGAATGGGTTGCAGGAGAACCAGTTGCAATGGTGTAGCTGCAGCATCAGTGCTTTCATGCTGCAATGACACTGGTGCAGGATACAAAGCTGAAGAGGCTTCTCAGAATAAGTAGGGCCCAACTGGTTTAAGAGCCTCTGCTGTTGCTGTTATAGGTTTTCTATTTTTAACTTCAGTCATGAAGTCCCGGTATATAGCTGTGGATTTGTTATGCTTGGTTTTACAGAAGTGCAAAACTATCTCCACTTGATTTGTGAACTACTAGTTATAAACATTCTGCTTGCCCTTCCTTTGGGAGTCCCCTGTTCCTTTAATATGGTGCTACCATTCAGATCCTTAGTTTGTCAACAAA